GTTTTTTGCTATGTTTTTTTTAATGAAATGAATAAATACTATAAACTAAAAAAAGGATCTGTGACAGGGTCACGGATCATTTTCTTGAAAAGGAACGGAGTGTAGGATTTATAAACCAACACATTTTATTATGTAGGCCGAAATTAAGCTTCCTCTTCTTGAAAGACCAGCATCCRCCACTGTACTTGATATATTAAGAAATAAACCCATTTATTACTCATTAGAGCTAATTATATCAGTTTTTCTCTCTCTTTGTAGATTCTGGATTCTGAGCTGTTTGAGTTAATGCACCAGAACGGAGACTACACCCACTTCTACTTCTGCTACCGCTGGTTTCTCCTGGACTTCAAACGAGGTGAAGAGATGCACGGCCGCACCCAGTCGGTGCCAATTAGAAAGAAGAGAAGAGTTGCTCTTGTTTAAGCTCCGCTCATGGAGAAAAACTGTCAAAACACAAGCAGTGATCAGAGCCTGAAAAAGATTTGGATTTTATTTGCATTAAAAAAACACATTTGGGTTTCAAGTCGCAGCATAAACTCACACTCCAATTTGCTTTTTTTTAATGGAAGTTTAGTCCAGAATTTTCTGATTTTCAATTTGCCTTATCCGCAAATATTTGGTTCTGCAATGATTGACGAGCACTGAAATTCTATTCTGATGTCTTGTTTAATATCAGGATGCAAACACCACAGCCAGTGGTATGATGATGGACAAATGCATTTTACTCAGAAAGATTAAATGATAAAAAGAAACAAGACAACAAGCAAAGCTGCCACACAATAAAAATGTAAAAAATGAAATAAAAAACATCCAAATATGGTTCACAAAATCTCTAAAACAAGTACAGATCACCATCACATGTTCATTTACTACAAGAAATTAATAAAAACTGTGCACAGAAAATTTTCTATGAATTCATTAAATCCAAAATACAACTAACGCTATAAATCAGCTATAAATACCCAAAGCTGCAGTCTCCCTTGATGTGTAGTTACTGTAGTTTGGAGCAATGCCACTGATTTTGCAAAGAACTGCAAGTTCTGTAGCAGGGTCTGTGAATCAACGAGCTCAAAAATAAAACTTAATTTTTAAAGTCTGCATCAGAGCTGATAGCGAAGAAATCCTGAGCTCTGATTCGCCAAAACTTAATGCAAAAATAAAAGAAAATATGAAACAGTGAGCTGAAGACCAATCTCTGGTGGATTAAACAAAAAAAGACATGAAGACAAAGATATGGATGAGCTCAGAAAGGAAAACAGAAGGTTCAAAAGAACAAATGTATGACCAGTGTTTGTTTTTGCATTCCAGAGCTGGTGTACGATGACGTGTTTGCCGTCTGGGAAACCATCTGGGCAGCCAAGCACGTCTCCTCCAGTCACTTTGTCCTCTTCATCGCCCTGGCGCTGGTGGAGATGTACAGAGACATCATCCTGGAGAATAACATGGACTTTACAGACATCATTAAGTTCTTTAATGGTAAATGCATTGCCTCATTACTAACTGTGCAAAYGTTCAAATACTGAAATACTCAAAATGTGAAAAAGCTTGGCAGGAAGTGTTAAAAAGAACATTACTGTAAAAAGAAGCTAATGTCAATCTAAGTGCTGTAAAACTAAAGGTAGACAAACATTTAAACCTTTGGGGCTTCTTCACATTTAAGTACAGCTGAATTTGATCAGTTCTGGACAAATACCAAAGATATATCATCAGGTGGTTTTTGAGTGGAGTCACAATCTTATCGCATAAAAGAGGAGAATGAAGATGCAGTTGTGAAGAATGAACCAAAGAAGGAGTTCTTAAAAGATTTTAGGACTCAGCATATGATCAAAAATGTTGTTTCTACATAAGGTTCCTGGAGTTTAAACTTGCCTTTTGTTCTTACATTATCCAGTTAATTTTAATGATGTTCTGTTTCATTTCACATGACTCCTCAACGTGAATTTACATTTAAATTTAAAATAAAATTACTTTAGTAAACCTGAACAGATTCAGATGGAACAGACTATAGCCCTCTCGTCTCATCAGGGAGTAAAAACCTGCAGATTTAATCAGTCCGTCTCATTCACACTTGTCCTCTTTTTAATACTGATATTTGCTTTCTGTGCTCAGATGTGTTTGATGAAGCTGAAGGAAGAAACTGTTTCTTGCATAGTTTTTTAACAAGATTTGTTGTAATGAGAAACTCCCAAGTGTCTCTTCTGTCSACGTCAGAATTACTTATAGTATATTCAGAGGTACAGAATATAAAGTACCAAAAAGAAATAATTAAATAAAAGTATAAATTTCTTAACAGAAAATAACTTTAGTAAGAATGATTTTCACTAATAAGGTAAGTACTTATGTGAAAGTCATAAAACTGCTCACATTGGGCCTCATGCAAGAACCGTTCGTACGCACAGATTTGTTCTTAAATTGTGCGTACGAGTGATTTAGGATATTCAGAGGTACAGAATATAAAGTACCAAAAAGA